AAAAAAAAAAAAAAAAATAGCCAGATGATGATAACTGCAACAGAGAAATGGCTGAGGGATAGGGTGGGTGCCCTGTAGTCCCAGCTACTTGGGAGGAAGAGGCAGGAGAATTGCTTGAGCCCAGGAATTGAAAGTTGCTGTAAGTTCTGATGCCATGACACTCTACCCAGGGCAACAGCTTGAGGCTCTGTTTCAAATAAATAAATAAATAAATAAAAATAGTTGGGTGACTCGGTGCCTGTAGGTCAGTGGTTAGGGCGCCAGCCACACACACCAGGGCTGGCTGATTTGAACCTGGCCTGGGGCCTGCTAAACAACAATGAGAACAGCAACAAAAAAAAATAGCTGGGCAGGTGTGGCAGGTGCCTGTAGTCCCACCTACTTGGGAGGCTGAGGAAAGAGAATCACTCAAACCCAAGAGTTTGAGGTTGCTGCGAGCTGTGACCACGAGCCATGGCATTCTATCAAGGGTGACAACGTAAAATTCTGTCACAAAAAAAAAAAAGTAGCTGGGAGTTATCTGCAGGCCCCTGTAACCCCAGATACCAGGGAGGACTGAGGCAAGAAGATCACTTGAGCCCAAGAGTTTGAGGTTACTGTGAACTATGACACCAGGGTCCCCTACTAAGGGTGACAAAGTGTGACTCTGTTTCAAAAAAAAAAAAGATAATGTGATTTTTTACACTTTAGATTTTTATCAATCAAAATTGTTATAAATGTATATTTCTGTGGGTAGATGTATGTTCAATTAAAAGCAAGGGGAAAAAAGTTAGGACCATAAATGATCAATACCAGCATGGGTTCAAATTTAAAATTCACAATTGGCTTAAAAATCTATGTGGGATTATCTGTGGCCTCTACCAACCAGCACCATTTCATGATAATTTCCTCTTTGTGTATATGTGGGGTAAGGGGAGTTGGGAGAGTTGTTTTTTTTTTTTAAATTTTTATCAAAGAGTGCTAGGTACAAAGCCAAGACTTTGATAAACTCAAAAACAAATTACAGTCAACAAATGAAGGCTCAGTAACTGACTGCAGTATAGTTTAGAGCTATAAATGCTCTTTCTACGTTCTCCCACTGAGGAACAACTATCATGACTTCAAGGAAGATGACACATTGACATTACTCACTTACCTGGACAATCAAAAAGGATATAGTCATCCTCCACATGACCAAGACAGTTCTCTAGCCAGTCAAAATTATTGGCAAAGTATTCCATGCAAAATACCAATCCTCCATTGGGACCGAACCTCAGAGACTCATCTTCCATCACATCATCTATCTCGATCAGTTCCCGGATGTCTGAAAGGGACAGATAGGACCCAGTATATAACTATCCATTTGAAAATGTTTATTCTGGCTTGGTGCTTGTGGCTCAAGTGGCTAAGGTGCCAGCCACATACACCTGAGGTGGCAGGTTCAAATCCAGCCTGGGCCTGACAAACAACAATGACGGCTGCAAGCAAAAAATAGCCAGGTGTTGTGGTGGGCGCCTGTAGTCCCAGCTACTTGGGAGGCAGAAGCAGGAGACTCTCTTGAGCCTAGGAGTTGGAGGTTGCTGTGAGCCGTGATGCCACAGCACTCTACCTAGGGTGACAGCTTGAGACTCTGTCTCAAAAAAAAAAAAAAAAAAAAAAAGAAAGAAAATTTTTATTCTCACTAGTAATTATTAACTATGTTAAAAACTCACATGTATGAAATAATTTATCTACGTGGTTTTTTATTGTAGCAGTGACCATGAACAGAGAACAGAGCAAATAAAGTTCTATACAACCAGACAATGGAATACTATTCAAGCCCAAAGGGGGACTTTATTTTATTTTATTTGGCTGGGGTTGGGTTTGAACCCACCACCTCCGACAGGCGCCCTACCCTTCTGAGCCACAGGTGCTGCCCGACTTTATTTATTTTTATCACTTTGTTACACTCAGTAGAGTGCCATGGCATCAGAGCTCACAGTTACCTCAAACTCCTGGGCTTAAGTGATTCTCTTGCCTCAGTCTCTCGAGTAGCTGAAACCACAGGCACCTGCCACGATGCCCAGCTATTTTTAGAGATGAGGTCTCGCTCTGGGTCAGGCTGATCTCAAACCTGTGAGCTCAGGCAATCCACCTGCCTTGGCCTCCCAAGTGCTGGGATTACAGGCAGAAGCCACCACGCCCAGCTGCGGGGAGACTCTCTTTAAATATTGATATAATACAATCTTCCAGGTATGCAAAAATGCAAGATACACAACTATGTGAGAATGCCATCATTTGTGCTACAAATAAAAAGAAAGATAGGCTTGGCACCCATAGCTCAGTGGTTAAGGCACCAGCCACATACACCAGGCACGGTGTTTCAAACCTGGCCCAGGGCCGGCTAAACAACAATGACAACTACAACAACAAAAAAAGCCAGGTTTTGTGGCAGATGCCTATAGACCCAGCTACTTGGGAGGCTGAGGCAAGAGAATAGCTTAAGCCCAAGAGTTTGAAGTTGCTGTGAGCTGTGATGTCATAGCACTCTACCGAGGGCAACATAATGAGACTCTGTCTCAAAAAAAAAAAAAAAAGATAAAAATTCACAACATATACTTACTGCATATATGTATTGAATTTTATATGCACAGACTATCCACAGAAGGACATACCAGAAACTAGTAACACTGGCTACCTCCAGCAAGGAGAGTTTACTGCTTGGACATAGAGCAAGAAAGAGACATTTTCCTGCATACTTACTCTTTTATACATTTTGCATTTTGAACCATATGTATTTCCTATTCCAAAAAAAGTAAAACAAATGCAAACAAAGAAAACCAACTACCATTTCTTAACACAATGATCCTAGAAGAGCTACTTACCCTCCTCATTTCCTCATCCTGGGGTCAAAGGGTAAGAACTATATGAGATCTAAATCACCAAGGAGAGGGACTTAAAAAAATCCTAGCATATGTGTGGTTCTCTTATTTTTGGAAATCAATATTTAGAATTTTCTACCTTAGGTTTTTACTTATTTATTTATTTATTGGGGTTTTACTTATTATTATTATTATTATTTTTTTTTTTTGAGACAGAGCCTCAAGCTGTCCCCCTGGGTAGAGTGCCGTGGCATTACAGCTCACAGCAACCTCCAACTCCTGG